TGGCCATGAATTCGATGTCAAACCACTCAGTCAGTTCTGTGGTTTGTCTCCAGCCGCATTTGCATATCGACAAAGGCAATCAAGTCGAGCTTCACTTTGAGATCCGCATCCCCAAGCACAGGACTAAGCAGACAAACAAGGGAAGGGAGCCAGGGAACCGAGGGTGTGGATGGAAGTGACTTTGCTCAACTGTGGGGCTTAAGGCAGGTCAGAAGAGAGGGGGTGTACCACAAGGGCCAGGGACCCGGAAGTGTGCTAGCTAGCATCAGTGTCACACCCAGCATCAGAGTGCCCCAGTTACCACCAATGACAAAGTCAATGCAATGACAGTGGCTGAATTACGTTTGAGGCAAAAGATGAAGGAAATGAAAGACCAATGGACTAGAAGGATTGCTTAAAATTGATACTAAAATCAAGAAATACGGGCAGGTATTTTCAGCTTCATTCTGTTGCTGTGACAGATTCCAGAACCAAAACTACCCAGAGGAGAGAAAGGGCTTCTTTCAGCTTAGAGGTCACAGTCTGTCACTGAGGAGAGCCAGAACTCCAGCAGGAACTCGAGGCAGAGACCATGGAGGAACATTGCTGGTTTGCTTGCAGACCCTTGTCTAGCTAGCTTTTTTGTCCAACCCAGGATCACCTGCTCCTACAGTGGGCTGAGCCCTCCCACGTACATCAACAGCCAAGGCCCTTCACAGACATCCCCTCAGGCTGTTCTGCTATGGGCAACCCTTCAACTGAGACTCCCTTCACAGGTGACGCTAGGCTGTATCAAGTTGACAGCTAAAGTTAACCAGGACGACAGGATACAAGGGCTGAATTCCATTTAAAGTCTTCAGTAGAAATATAAGATATAATGAAAAACCATTCTCTGGTACAAAAACCTCTCTTGGCAATTTAGCATAAAGCCAGCTTCTCCCCCTCCCCCTCCTCTTCCTCCTCCTCTTCTTCTTTCTCTTACCCTCCTCCCTGCCTCCTTCTCTTCCAGATCTACTTATTTTATTTTATGTATTGAGTGCATTTGCCTACATGTGTATATATGTGCACTGTGTGTGTGCCTGGTGCCCTCAGAGGTCAAAAGAGGAAGCCAGGTCCCCCTGGGACTGGAGTCATGGGTGGCTGGGAACCTTCATGTGGGTGCTGGGAACTGAATCCGGGTCCTTAGCTGCTGGACCATCTCTCCAGCCCGTGCAGAGAACCTTCTTAACAAACGTGAATGATACTCTGCCCTTTCTGCTGACTCAAGCATCCAAACGCTCTTAGCTAACCGTGTCACAGTCCCACGTGATCCAATGAACCTTTGCTAGAAGCTCTGCCTGCTCTCTGTCTGTGAGCACAACAGGGTCTCAGCCACCAGAAACTCAACACTTCCCAATCTTTCTCACTTCCTCCCTGCCTAAAGGCCTGGACTGGCAAGAAATTAAGGACTCAGGCATTATATTGGCCTGCCTGTGTCACCTGGCAGAATGCACTCAGGCAGTACCCTGGTCAGCCCAGGGTTATGCATGCAGGTGCAAAGCCCCCTTTAAAAGACAGACCCCGCCCACTTATGCTCTCTTTCCTGCTGTTCCCCTAAAGTAGATAGGACTTTTCCAGTCTCTCTCTCTCTTCTGTCCTCTCTCTGTCTCTGTGTCTCTTTACTTTGTTTCTCTTTCTAATAAAACTTTTCACTAAGCTCTATCTGCCTGGTATGTTTGTCCCTCAGCCTCTGTCACCCTGGCCCGCCAGGGAATCTGCCAAGGTCCCCCACGTGCTTTATTCATAACAAGAAAACCCCTTAACAACGATCTTTCCAAAGAGATAAATACATAACCAGACACAGACAGACAGACAGACAGACAAGCAAGCTTGCGTATATAGGAAGGGTTCATGGTCCTCGATAGAAAATTCAATATTGTCAACATGTTCAAACGTCAAAGCTTAATTCAACATCCAATCAGAACCTCTATGAGACTGTTATGATTTTTGGAGCCAAACTTGTTTATTTTAAAGTTTATTTGGAAGAGTACACTTTTGTGTGTGGAGATGCCAAGAACGTGTTGAAAAAGAATAATGACAAAGGACTCAATTAGAGCTGCCCGACCCTACCAGTAAATACAGCCAGTGAGAGCAGTAGGATGTAGGAACAAAGGAGAGCAAAGGCCCGAGACAGACCGTGTGGTAAAATCCAGATCCCAAATTAGTGGGCGAGCTGCATGGCGAATAACCACCGTTTGTTGTCGTCGTCAGCTTCGGGGTCAACTTGACACAACCTAGACCCAAACCTGGGGAGAGGGAACCTCGTTGGAGGAATCGCCTTTATCAGCATACCCTGTGAGCATGTCTAAGGGGCCTTTTCCTGATTTCTAGTGCGGGTAGAAGGGCCCAGCTCGCTGTGGGAGGTGCCACCCCCAGGCAGGCAGTCCTGAGCAGCACAGGAAGGCAGGCTGTGTTAGCAGGAGGAGCAAGCCAGTAAGCAGCATCCCTCCATGGCCTCTGCATCAGCTCCTGCCTCCGAGTTTCCCTGGGTGGTGGACTGTGACCTGTAGGCTGAAATAAACCCAAAATGATTTTGGTCAGTGTTTTATCACAGCAACAAAGAAGCAAACTGGATACTTTTTATCTAGGGGAGAGATTAGCCCCTGTGTTATGTATGAAAATATAGGCACAAGTGACATGGAGGCACAAAGGTCAAAGGGGGGTGAAAGGTGACAGGAAGGAGGGGGATGAGGGAGAAGGAGGAAAAAAGAAAAACAACAAAACCAAATCCTCTGGAAAAAATTTCAATAATAAAACCTATTATTTGCATGCTAATAAAAAATAAAAGGTGCAAGTAAAACAATGATCTAAAAGGTTTTTAAAAATAATGTATTACCTTTATTTTATGTGCATTGGTGTGAAGGTATCAAATCCCCTGGTACTGGAGTTACAGGCAGTTGTGGGCTGTCATGTGGGTACTGGGAATTGAACCCTGGTCCTGTTGTGCCCAAATTCTTGAACCCCAAAATCACCTAGAGGCTCATTTCGATGCAAAAGCAAAAAGTCGTTTTTTGAAGTTACTTAACGAGCTAAACCCATTAGCTTGGGCCCTTCATCCTGCCACCATGGCGAATGGCTGGAGAAAGACACCAGCAGCCTTGAGGCAGGGATCTTAAAGGGCAGCATAAGGGGAGTGTCTAGAGGTATGCAGCAGTCTCAGGATTGGTGTGATTCCAACTTTGGATGGCCTACCCTGTGTTGATTGGTCAACTGGTTGTTATGGCCCATAGGCCCTCCCAGGGCGGTTGCTATGCTCTGCATATCACTGTTGTGCACTGTCTGTAAAGTATACCCAGAGCCGTAAAGCACAGCCTGCCAGCTAACCTCTGATTGACTCCTTGCTATGACCTCCTAGTGACTAGGACAGGAGTGGCAAGGTCATACAAGCGCATGGTAGCCTGTCATGGCTGCTAAAATGGGGGACTGGTCACTACAGTCCTCTGGAAGAACAGTCAGTGCTCTTAACCACTGACTCATCTCTCCAGCCCCATCTAAAAGTTTTAAAGCTATATTTGAGAAGAAAATATACAAGAATTAATTTTTTGTTTGTTTTTTTTTTTTTTTGGTGGTTTTGTTGTTGTTGTTTTGAGACAGGATTTCTCTGGCTCTCCTGTAACTTGATCTGTAGACATAGGGTTTCCCTGTGTGTATCCCTGGCTGGTCTGAGTACTTGGACCAGACTGGCCTCAAACTCGCAGAGATCTTCCTGCTTCTTCTCCTGAGTGCACCATGGCTCCATGGTTGGTCAAGAGAATTTCTTCATCTTGGTGGAGTGAGAAAAAAATGTTTGCAAGAACAGGACCATAAAGCAAATATGAGAAACAGAGTTTACAATGACAGACTTCAGGTGCTGGAGCATAGGTAGGCAAAATGTAGTTATTTGTGGTTTTGTTAATTAATCACACCATTGTCCAAAAGAGGGATCAGAGATATTTACAGCGATGAACATGTAAGACAGTACACAATAGGATTCTAACACATGCATTCATGAATAGAGACAAAAGTGAAAAATACACGTGAAGATAAACATCAATAAATGAAATATAGCTCTTAACACCCTCAACAATCTTAAGAAACAAGCATCATGTTTCTCCTTGCACTGCCCAGATTTCCAGAAACACAGAGAAACAGCATTCAGTGTAAGGTTTGTGCAGTATCTAGAGGACGATTGTAATTAAAGTGTGCCAAAGACAGGCACTTCTCTGATGCTGACCCAAGAAAGAAATGCATTCATTTACTCTCTCCCTCCTGGAACTGAAAGAAGCTGAAATTCACTGATGCATTATCCATGACCACTTAGTGGGACCACAGCATGGCCACCAAGGCTTGCACTGCTCGCTCTCGGGGACCACTCCTGGATGCAGCTGGTGCTGTCGCTTCCTTGGACCCAGGCACTTCAAGCATCATGGGAGTTCTGTACACAGCCCCGAGCTTGTTATGCTACTCAGCGTCTTCCCACAAGGCTCCTGCTCTCTCCTCTTTCTAAGCTTTCGCCCCATCTGCCTGTCACATCTGCCCCTGTGCCAGCCCCATTAGGAGAATTTCTCCCCCAAACTCTAGTTGCCCCAACAAGCAATGGCATCCAAATTCAGACAGCCACTCAAATGGGGGTTTTTTCCTTCCTTTTCCACTCTTCTTCTGACTGGAAGATGATGGGTGGCCATGCTGGGGGAGTCCTCAGACCTCCTTCCAGGGCACTAAGATGGTACATAACCGATTCTCAAACTCTTGGCCCAGGGGTCTCCCTACTGGCTCTCAGCTGCCACACCGCACTGGGGTTTTGTTTGTTTGTTTTTATTTTAATCATGAATCTGCACAGTGGACGTAGATGATTAACGAGAGCTAGAAAACACTTCTCGTTCAGGCAAACAAGTGTGTCCCCAAGGCTGTGACAAACAGGGCTTAATGTGAAGGCCTCAGGCAGCTCCTGTTCTCCATGTCCTGTCTGAAGATGATGTTTTGTATTTCTGTCTTTGCTTTAGCTCCATGGAGCATGACAAGTGCCTGATCCTCTATGGCGATGACCAGGTAGGTATGGGGATGCCACTAAGGCAAGAACCAGAACGGTGTTTACTGTTCTGTCCAAGGGGGAGGTGGGGTATTCCCTCGGGGACATCTGTGCTCGGAGACTGTGCTCAGAGCATGGGAAGGAAAATAGAAAAGGAAACACACAAGACCATTCAGAGAAAATACAAGTGGTGCTCACTAACGTGTGGTACTCCCTAACATGTGAGTGGTGCTCACTAGCATGTGTGGTACTCCCTAACATGTGAGTGGTGTTCAAACATGTGTGGTACTCCCTAACATGTGAGGTGCTCACTAACATGTGAGGTACTCCCTAACATGTGAGTGGTGCTCACTAGCATGTGTGGTACTCCCTAACATGTGAGTGGTGTTCAAACATGTGTGGTACTCCCTAACATGTGAGGTACTCCCTAACATGTTAGTGGTACTCCCTAACATGTTAGTGGTGCTCACTAACATGTGAGGTACTCCCTAACATGTGAGGTACTCCCTAACATGTGAGTGGTGCTCCCTAACATGTGAAGTACTCCCTAACATGTGAGTGGTGCTCACTAGCATGTGTGGTACTCCCTAACATGTGAGTGGTGCTCACTAGCATGTGTGGTACTCCCTAACATGTGAGTGGTGCTCGCTAACATGTATGGTCCTCCCTAGCTTGTACGTGTTGCTCTGTAACAAACATGTGGTACTGTCTAGTGTGTGTGGCGCTCACTAACATACAAATCAGGTTCACTAAAACACCTGTTAGGGTCACTAGCCAGCCTGATGCCTTTAGTACTATCTATTCACGTCACTATGGTCCACAAAGGCAGCGGTTACCATGACTACTTATAAGAATGAAGAAACTGGCCGAGTGGTTGTGCACGCCTTTAATCCCAGCACTTGGGAGGCAGAGGCAGGCGGTCTCTGTGAGTTTGAGACCAGCCTGGTGTACAGAGTGAGTTCCAGGACAGCTAGAGCTGTTACACAGAGAAACCCTGTCTCAAAAAACCAAAAAAGAAAAAGAAGCTGACAGTTTGCCCAAGGTTCTGCGTTCCCGAGCTTGGTGGCTCGTCTATGTCCTTGGCTCTGGGCTCTAAGGACCGCCAAAGAAACAAACAAACAAAAAATGTCTCCAGGGAACAGATGTGGAAGACATGGGCTAGGAAAAGAAGACCCCAGGTGAAATCCCTGGAATGATTGGGAAAGGGGGAGGGGCTTCGCCCACCCAAGATGGAGAAATCCTTCACCTGCATAAGGCTTAAATGCAGATCCCTTCAACAGAGGAGACTGAGTGATGCAGACAGAAGCCGGACTGGATGCCAGGGTGTTCTAAACTCTTCCCAATTTAGACAGGACAGGAGGGAATGGAGCAGGCATAGAATTGTGCCTGGCTTCCCTTCTCAGTCTCCCTCCGACGCTGTCCCTCTCTGCTTCTTGAAATGGGTGGTTTTTCATAGGAGAGAGCACAGAAGGGGCCATTTAATCCTATAGAGATCCACAACCCAAGTCCACATGCTGGAAGAGGGGACAAGCAATGCGTTGCCCCACTCTAGGGGGTACCGTTCACTACAGGCTCGTACAGGAATGGTGTCTTGAATTTGTGTCACACAGCCTCCAGGCTGGAATTCCCCAAATGGAAGCTGGCAGAGACTTGGTGGCAGAGGGAAGCCTCTCTGTGTCCATGGTGTCCAGCGGCGGCCAGCTCCTCTAAATGGAGTTCCCTGCCTCTGCCTCTTCTTGGATGCTTTCCTGGGTATGGTCAGGCCTGGTTACTGCTTTCCTGCACAAGCCGAAAACGAAAGCCAGGACAGGTCCAGGCATCTGGCTGCTCGTTAGAATGCAAGTTCATTGCTGAAAATGCAAATGACCCATTTCACCTTATCCTTCTGACAGACACACTGGGAGCGATGACTGGTTGCTCCCTACCTGTCACCACTGCAGCTCTGATCATTGTGTGAAGCGCCTGCCACACTTCAGGTGCATATAGTAGCCGGCTCAAACACCCTGCTGCTTGAGACACAATCATCCACTGCCCCCTAGTGGCCTCTGTGGGAATGACATGCTAGGCACCCAGTGTGTGTTGGTTTAGGATCTAAGCAAATCAGAGTGGCGTTTTATTTTAAGAATGGCTTGCAGTTCCTGTTGATTTCATCTCTGCTGCTCATATCTGCGCTTCTTAATTAACAGCTCAGAGATGGAATGAAATGTCAGTCACGGTGACTTTGTGGAGCTGTATTTGAATGTTAAAAAGTCGTGGCATTTTTAAACCATATTAAGACTTCTTTTGGTGATCATTTCAAAAAAAATTTTTTCTCTCCTTAGTCTAGGAAAGGGATTAAAATGAATGTAGTGCTAAATATCTCAGGTTGGCATTTCTCTAAGCTTCGGGGTTATGTGAAAGAGAAACAAGATTATTTGTAGGACAGAGGCACTAACTGTGCTTGCTTTGTCGTCTAATCTGTCTCCTGACCCTGCCCTGGCAGATTTCAGAGGCTTCACAATTTGCATAGTTCTTTATCGCCCTGTATCCATGGCACCAGGGACCCAGCCATACTTAGCATAAGGGAAGCCACTTTCGTGACGGGTGACCTTGTTTATGGCTGTGCTGGTGGAGGCTGCTCCATGAGTGACTGTCCTTGAGACGTCTGCACCAAGCCTCGTGACGCCCTGAAAGATGGCTTTCCAGCAGTGCTCCACTGTGTCCCAGGAGGCTTCACAAGGGATCTACATATTCTTTAAAGACTTAACTTGCTGTTTTTAATTATGTGTGTCTGCGTGTAAGCATGGACACGTGAGTGCCGGTATCCGCAGACGCCAGAAGAGGGCGTCAGATTCCCCCGGGAGTTGGAGTTACAGGTGGTTGTGAGCTGCCCAGTATGGGTGCTGGGAACTGAACTTGGAGCCTTTGGACGAGACAATATGCTGAAGGACTCCATCAAGCCAAATCAAACTTGCATGGGTGTGAAACCAGTCAGGTAGGGTTTTGGTTGTTTTTTGTTGTTGTTGTTGTTTTGTTGTTGTTTTTTGGTTTTTACGAGACAGGGTTTCTCTGTATTGTTTTGGAGGCTGTAGGTCCAGCCCGGCCTCGAACTCACAGAGATCCACCTGCCTCTGCCTCCCGAGTGCTGGGATTAAAGGCGTGCGCCACCACTGCCCGGCTGGTTTTTTGTTTTTTGGGTTTTTTTTGTTTGTTTGTTTGTTTTGTCCCCATTGTTGCCCCCTTAATCAATGAGCCATTCTCTCCAGTTCTAAAATCTACTTCTTCTTATTACATTTTTACTAATCCTGAGTGTGTGTGTGAGTGTGTGTGTGTGTGTGTGTGTGTGAACATGAGGAGGGAGAGGACAATTGGCAGAGGCCAGGTCTCTCCTTCCACCATATGGGGCACAGGGATCAAAATTCAGGTCGTCTGGCTCATGGCAAGCGCCTTTGCATGACGAGCCAGCTCACCAGCCCTAAACCAACGGCGGTACTTCCGCGAGGGTGCTTCGCAAACATTGTCCCTCGGTTAGTGTTGCGGAATTTGTGACCTTGCTGAGGAACCCGGCCACAGAACAGTCAGGAAAAGCATGGTGTCTAAGGAGACTGTGCACGGTCGGGTGATAGGACCTCGGACCATGACATCTAGGTGACACTGTCAGGGGATCATCATGCTGTCCCCTCCCCAACAGCTCTGTTCCACGCCTTTGTTCACATTGGGCTGACTGCGGGCCAGGTAGCCCCACGATAGGAAAACTTCTAAGAGAAGTTACCGTCGGTGAGGAAGCATTCCTGTACACAGGAAACAGAATTCAATCAACAAACTTTTCCACCGTGAAGATCTGAAGCCTCGGTCCACGGAGTACTTCGGGTTTCCTCCTCAGCAAACCGTAGTTTTCCTCAGCATGCCGCCGAAGCTTCTACGATGACTCATCATGTTAAACTTTTCCTCTTGAGTCAGAAATGAACTAACGCTGAGGCTCAGTGCGCAGGGGAAGGCTGCTGTCTGGCCAGTGGGTTCTGTCATGGTGCGGGGTTGAACTGCCCAGCCACTAAACAGAAATTCCAGGGGCTGCTGAAGGACTCCATCAGTGCAAATCAAACATGTGAGGGGTGAAACCAGTTAGGAAGGGTTTGCTTGGTTTTTTGTTTGTTTGTTTTGTTTTGTTTTGTTTTTGTCCCCATTGCTGCCCATTATATTATGGTGGGGCCAATGCCCCTTTGCTGTCTCCAGATGACCTGATTTCAATGAGTCAATGTGTTCCATAGACCCTAAGGTCCCAGGGCTGAATAATTACCATCATTAGCATAGACCTCAAGCTAAGATAAAATTTAGTGGGAGGAAAGAATGGCAGAGAGAGGCTGTGTTTGAAAATTAAGATTTTCTTTAAATCTTGTATTAAATCTACATTAAAATTAAGATGAATGTTTCTGTCTGTCTGGGCTATTTCCAAACTGACCTAGAAGGCCTGGGGTGCACCTCAATACTAGAGCACTTACCTAGCATGTTCAAGGTCTTGTGTTCAGTCCCCGGAACTGGGGGGAGGAGGGTGATGACAAAACCTAGGTAAGCGATTTTTTAAATCATTTAAAATAACTCATATTTAAAGTGATGGCATAGGACACACTGGTGTGTCTGCTTCCCAGCCTCTACTACAGCTTCCTCTGGTACTAAGAATCCCAGAGACCTGGTGGTGTGTATGACGCGACACGGCAGACACAGAGAAACCCTGTTCTGAGCTGGCTACCATCCGGCTAAGAAGCTGCTGTCCTGGTGGTGGCATCCCAAGCACCATGCCAGGGCTCCCACTGCTGCCTCACAGGCCACACCAGGAGGGTTTTATGTAAGGTCTTCAAAGCCGCAGCAGCCACTACAGTGGCTGTCACCTGGCCTTTCATGTCTCAGTGCCCACAAATGCATGGTTGAAGAGAGGATTCATCCAAGCCTGTGTCACGCTGGCCATCTGGAAAATCGCCAGCCACTCATTTAGCAAATCACTTTGTTTAAAGGCGGCTCTGTGTCGCAGTATTTATGCTACCGGGATGGATCGCATAATTCCTCCGCCTTGGTTTATCTGCGTCGCTCCTCTTCATCTGCCTAGCAACTTAAAGGGCCCTTAACGCATGACAAGGCACTTGACCTGCATGATTTCCAAGCCAAGGGAGAGCATTTGTCTTGTGCTGGATTGTCCTCTCCTCCAAAGCAAGGGCGCATCGCCCACACTCTCTGTCTTAATGAAGCCTGCCTTTATTAAAGATCCCATTAAACTCCACAGGGCCCAGCCATCCAGCACTGTAAATATTACCCTGCAGAAATGCATCCTGGGACCTGGTGAGGCGGGAGATGGGGGGGGCCGCTGGGGGGGTGAGGGGTGGTGGTGGTGCTGGCTCCACAGTGGAGGGGACCTCAGCTCTCTGCAGAGGGAAGGCTGCTGGTTGACAGCTGGTGCCTCTCTGTTTGGGAAGATCAGTTAGAATCATTAGCAGGTAATGTCACAAGGCCCCTAGGGTGGTTTGAAGAAGATCTGGAAGCAACATTACTTCAGAATAGCAATGAGTTCTCAAGGGTCCAACCCGGGTTTTCTTTTTCCAAAAGAGGAAAGAAAAGGAAGGAGTCCATGGAGCTGAGCCCGCTTCTTACCAGAAGGTTGCTGGTCACTTTGTCCTGATATGGATTACCAACTGTCATTTACCAGGACCAATGATCTCAGTGACTGTTGCTTCCATAAATTGCTCATCTGAGGTCATGTTATTATTAAGTCTGGAAGCCAGGAGCTCAAATCTGTGAGCCTGTGTGCCCAAGACATATTATGTGCTCAAGGCTTAACTAGGCCCATGAGTGGGGGGGTAAAAATAGTGCAATAAATGTGTTCTACAATCAAAGCCTTTCAGAAGCAAACAAATACAAACGTTTCCTATTTAGTGACTACTAAAGACACAGACTTTAGTGTCTGGTGCTGATGAGATTTGGGTCAAGGTTTCTGTCTGAGATTTAGTCTCCTCATATCAAAAGGAAATGGGCATTTACCTCTTTGAGTTTCTGTTTTGTTTTGTTTTTCAAGACAAGGTTTCTCTGTATTGTTTTGGAGGCTGTCCTGGAACTCACTCTGTAGACCAGGCTGGCCTTGAACTCACAGAGATCCACCTGCTTCTGCCTCCCGAGTGCTGGGATTAAAGGAGTGTGCCACCAATACCAGGCCATTGAATTATTTTTTAAAGTAGCAAATCAGGGCTTACATAGAGTAAGCAATCCTACTAATGGCAGGCGGTAGATAGCGATCTCTGTGTTGATGGCAGGAAACAGTCTTTGGACTGGGGCAAGGGAGGAGACTTTCATGAACCAGCTCCACACTACAAGAAGTACTAGCTCCAAGTAGGGAGAGCATAGCCAGTGAAGAGCACCCTGTAAACAAGACACGGAGATGGTGGGCAGGAAAGGTAGTGGACAGCCCGGTGGACTGGAAGGAAGTGGATGAATGAGGGGCTCTATTGATGGGGGCTTGAAGGCCAAGGTCTTTAAAGGGCCTCAACATAATCTAACAGGGAACAGGCTGCCATCTTGGTTTCTCACAGGAGAGGAACAGAGTGAGAGCTGTCTGTGGGCTAGTATATGTGAACAGGCTAGGTCACCGGAGAAGATCAAGGCTGGAAGATGGGGTCCAAGGCCAGACATAAGCCCAGGTCAGATGGATGAGTTCAGTGGCAGGAGCCAGGGGATGAAGGGTGGGGGAGCTAAAGCTTGAATTCCCTTCCAAAACAGAAAGACCTAATGCCCACATGCGCACCAGGCAGGTGGAAGGAGGGAAAGGAAAAAGAATCTAGCCTTATGGAACAAAGCTGGTTGCTTTCCCCCACCATTCTAGCTTAGCTTGCTCCAAACATGGGTCCCTAGGACACCAAGAGGATGGCAAGTGCTTGGAAGCAGGTGAAGCCATGGCGCTTTCTGGCTCGCTGCAGTTGGGCCATAGGTTTGGTTTACAAGTGACTGTCAAAGATTGAAGGGCAAGTGCAAGGGTCCAGTGAGGAGTCCCAAGGGCTCATGGGACCCGCACATATGTGAGCATCATTGGTTTAAGGAAGACAGTGTCTTGGCAGCGTAAACAAAAGCCTGCAAGGACTTGAGGCGTTGGGAGAGATCTGCAAACGCCCAAGACCCAAACTGCAACATAAGACAGGAGCTAAGATAAGTGAGGCCCTTGCAGAAGCCAAGGGCCAAGAGGTGCTGAGGTGAGAAGTGACATTCACATGTATGAGAAGTAGAGCTGTCCTGGGTGGCAGGGGAGGGGCAGGGAGAGAAGCCAGCTGGCCAAGGGAGGGGTGTACATTAAGAAAATAATGCTTTGGTGTTGGTTAGGAGAGGTGGGGCAGTGAGGATTTCTTAAAATGGAATGAGTTCCTCCATGCCAGTGTAATGCCACGAAAAGGTGACAGCCCCGCTAGCACTGATGATATTCCCATTGATAGATTGTCCACTGGAATAGTCTTACATAAGACATCACTGGCACAGACTTTGTAGTGTATGTCATACTTAGGACTTACAAAGCCTGGAAGACTAGGAGTCTACACACCCAGAGTAGGTGGTTTACCAATAAAATGACACCGACCACTATGAAGCCAAAGGGCTCTGAACCCAGCCAAATTTCTGGCTTGTTGGGTTCATTTGTCTGAACTCAAAGACCCCAAAAGTGGCCCCACTCTGCAAATAACCACCTTCATTGACTCATGTAAGTCATTCAACCTCACTCTCCCTGTCTTTAAAAAAAAAAAACAGGAATCATAACATTGTCAGTCATATGACGTCATCATCATTATTGGTTCTTTGAGACAATGTCTCAATACAAAGTCCAGTCTGCCCTTGAATTTGTCAGCCTCCTGAGTTCTGAGATTGCATGTGTGCCCCACCATGTATGTAAAACCTATAGGACTAATGTGAGAATTGATTATGCTAAAATGTGTGATGCCATTCCAGGATGAGTCTTCCTGTCACATGGATACTGGAAAACGCTAGCCACCCCACCCCCAGCAATATACAGCAAAGGTTTTTGTTGTTTTCTTTTCTTTAATTAAAATAAAGTTACACCATTCTTATATGCATCATGCTATTAAGCCAGTGTTTTCCACCATGTAGTGCAATCCCAAATACAGCCCACTGTGAGCTTTGTGCTGGCATGCTCAAAGTCCCCTATGTGCCACAGGGCAGTCCCCTGTGACTCTGAGGCCTGACACTTGGACAAGTGCAGTCTGGCTGAGCTCATGTCCCACTCAAGGTTATGGAAGCTCCAGGGTCTCTGTATGTGACGTTCCACCTGCCTGGGGAGGGGCAGGGCCATCTGAAAAGTCACCTATTCATTCCACCTGGAGAAATGCTGTTTGCTGTTTCTGATGAGAAAATACACGTTTTTAGCATATGGGGAACAAGTGGGATTTGTTGCGCTTTAACTCATGTTTCTTTTCTTTTTCAATTGATTGCAGGGATGTGTGAACATTATGGTTTTGACATCTGCAGGTGAACTATTAAGGTAAATATTGAAGTTTAAATGCAATTGCAGAACCATATGCTTTTAAAGTAAAAAGTTAATATTTCATATACACGTTGCAATAGGGTAAAAGAGTCAACCCAACGTTCTCACGATGGCTGAGGGGCTTGGGGATACAGCCCAGTCTGTAAAGTGCTTATTGTCCAAACGTGAGGACCCGAGTTCACATCCCCAGCACTCGTATAAAAGCTGGGAGCGGAGCACCAGTAACCCCAGCAGCAGCGGGGTTGGAATGGAGGAGACAGGAGAATCCCTTACAGTAGGCTGGCTGGCCAGTCTAACTTAATGGGTGAACCCTGGGTTCAGTGAGAAATCCTGTCTCTAAACAAGGTGAGGAGCAAATGGAGATACCTAATGTCAACCTCTGACTCCATACGCATGTGTATATATGAGCCTGTGTGTGTGCATGCACACACACATGTACACACACACACACACACAAGCACAAGCACACTCACAGTGAGAGAGGGGAAGGAAGGGAGACAGCCTGAGGTTTTGCGTTTGCTTCTCTTTTCTAAGTCCCTGAGACTCAGATTCCACTTCACATTCCTACTCCATGATGCAATATTTCTCAGCTTTGGCCTCATGTCCTGTCATGCCTACAATACCAGCAAGTACCTTTGAAGTTGAATCCATTCATTCATTCATTCAAGAAAAGTTCTCAGTATAACAAAGCGAATGATAATAAAATCAGTAATACAAAAGATCAAGGTAAGCACAAAATAGCCACAGGATCAGATAATTAGCTGTGTAACTCATGGTAAGCATACTCTATGTGGTGGTTTGAATAGGAATGGGCTTCATAGGCTCATAGCTTTGAATACTTGGTCATTAGAAGATGGTGTTACTTGACAAAGATTAGAAGGTGTGGTCTTGTTGGAGGAAGTGTGTCACTGGGGTTGGTCCATAAGGTTTCAAATGCTCAAGCCAGATCCAGTGTCCCTCTCTTCCTGCTGCCTGTGGATCTGGATGTAGAACTCTCCATCACCATGTCTACCTGTGTGCCACCATGCTTCCTGCCATGATGATAATGGGCAAACCCTCTGAACTGTAATCCAGCCCCAATTAAATGTTTTCCTTTATAAGAGTTGCCATGATCGTGGTGTCTCTTCACAGCAACAGAACAGGGACTAAGACACTGTGTAACAAGCGTCCAGCAAGTTCGGTGGGATTTCACAATAGAAAGTTATTTGCTCTTCAAGAAATTATTCAAGTAATTATTCAAGTGGGCAGCCTCCATGTGGTGACTCAGGAACCCAGCTTTCGCCTACACCCAAACAACAAAATGGGGGAAACACAAAGGAGTTATACAGAATTTTTCCAAGTCCCTTGTACCTGATGCATGCCACTCCTGTCTAATGGATTTGTTACCTTTCTGTTGCTGCAGTAAAGCACCATGACCTAAAACAACTTATGAAAGAAAGAGTTTATTTCAGCTTACAGGTCTGGGGGTAGGGATGAGGTCTGTAATGCCAGGGGGGAAGCACAGCAGTAAACGGGAAACAGAGAGAGCAAACTTGAAGTGGGGTGAAACTGTGCACGGTTAAAGCCCACCTCCAGTGATGCGCTTCCCCAGCAAGGCTGCATCGCCCTCCGGACAGCACCACCAACTGGAGACCAAGCAAAGTTCAACTACCTGAGCCCAGGGGGACATTTATCACTGAAACCGCCACAGCCTGAATTGCAGAGGCCAGTCACAGGTTCGTCTTTTCCACAACTTCTTACCACCCCACTGTTCTGAATTCTTCTTTCCAGCAACCCTGGGTTCCAATGCCATCTCTTCCAGAAAGATCACAGCTCATAGCTCTCGCTCTACCGTGACCATGGCATGAGTCACACCCAGCACCTTTCTTAACCATCAAATATGCTGTCAGGAAGGAGAGTACCTGCCCTTTATCTGGCTCTCAATTCACAGCTGCAAAGGAAGAGATTGTGTGCGTCAACTTTCTATCACCATGACAACATGCCCAAGATAGAAAACTTTAAAGAGGAAAAGGTTTCTTTTTGCTCAGTTTGGGAGATTTCAGCCCTAGATCACTTTGCCCTGTTTCTTTCAGTTCATAGGGACACAGCACTCATGGTGGATGCACGTGGTGGAAGAGGCCATCTCATGTTGGCCTACAAGCAAAGGGGACAGGAAGAGGAGGGGCTAGGATCCCAATATCCCTGCAAGAGCACACCTCCAATGATTTAACTTGTTCCCTCTAGGCCTCACCTCTTCAAGGTTCTGTCACCTCCCACTAGTTGGACAAAGCTGTCAACACATTAAGCCGTGGGGGACACTCTACACCCATGCTATAGTAGTAAAGGATATGGCACACGAATCCAAAGGTGTGGTTCTTGGTAGGGACTCCCCTGCCTCCAAGTCCTGGATGATTACCTAGAAAACATTACTGTCCATTACTGCCCATTGAGATTGGAGGGAGGTAATTCAGGTGTATCCAGGAGGAAAGCCAGCTCAACTAATGGGGTGGCTCGGGACATTCTGAGGTCAGGACTTGGATGGCAAAGCTGTACCTGTTCTGGAGAGGAACAAATTGACTGTGAGGGTTGTATGGTCATCAGGGTTGCTTCTTGGAAACTGAAGATGGTCAGGAATGAACTTGGCTTCAAAGTTAGCTAGATGCCCTTCTCAAACAAAAAGAAAAGATTGCCAAAAATCACTATATAGACACAAATCAAGCTCTCTTTTGGCTCTATGGTAGCTGACCTAAGGGTAAGCAACCCCTTCCCCCAGTATTTTGGGTTCCAGGACATTCTATACCAATATGTGCAGGTACTCAAGTCCCTTATTTAAAATGACACATAGTATTTGAAGGAGTCTACATATGCACTCCTCTGTGCTTTAAACTGTCCAATGATGTATATAATGCCTGACGGAATGTAAATGATATGTAAGTAGTTGGTTGTCGTGCTGTGGTGTTTAGGGAGCAGTGACAAGAAAGGAGTCTGTATGTATTCTGTATAGATGCAGTTTGGTTTGTTCTGAGCATGTTTGATGCTTGGTTGACTTAGCCAGAGGCTATGAGGCCTGTAGAAAGGCAGGCTGGGCTGCTCAGCTGTCCAGCTCAGATCTCAAGGACCTTATTCTCATGCTTTCAAAGCTGGGGCCTCTGGAATGTTGCTTATGCTGCCTGGGAACCATCTCAGAGAACCTGGCATAATCAATAAGCAGAAGGCAGAACAGGGATCACCCACAGTAGGGCAGCTCTGTGAGCCTGTGCCATATGGGAGCTTGGATAAGAGGGTGAGCTTCCCAGTTCAGCTTCCTCACGGGGTGGAGGGGCGGCTGGGAGAAAATACCAGCTGCAGCCTGGACACGCTGGTGGGATCAGACCGTTCCTCCTGAGCATAGACTATGGAGTCAATGAAGATACTGGTGTCAGACAATGGCCTCTTGGTGAGGAGATCTTGGATTCTTCCAGATGGAAGTGTTCCTGTTTGGTGTTCTCTGTGAAGCACCTTGTTTCCAGACTCCCACTGGAAACAGTGGACAGAAGTCCAAATCTGTCCCTTGTTCCCGCTTTACAGAGCATGGCAGATTGGCAGGGGAGGGGGAGGGCACTTGATACACTACCTCTTCAATCTCCCCCAGAATAACTCTGCAGCTGAGGAGTATGTGCCTTTGTGGGCTGAAGGGTGTTAGTCAGTAGGTGACCTAAAGATGGCTGTGACCACTGCATGACCACAAGTGCACTTTTTACACACACACACACACACACACACACACACACACACACACACACACACACACACGGTCAACACTACCTCTCCTCATAGCCACTGGGAGGGAGCTACCACTTGCATCAAGCAATAAGTCAAAGGCAGTTCATTTTACCAAAGACATTTGCTGGTAGCTTGAAGCTCCAGAGAGAAAGAATAGTCTGGGACCAAAGAGAGTTATGGGGCAGACTCCTCCACACAGAGCCTCCAGGGACCCAATACTGTGAACCCAGACAGCACAGATGTTCCATAGTCAACCCCCAAAGATCCCCACATATCATACAGAGCCCTCAAGATAACCCATGGACATCCACCCCAGAGACTTTAACATATACACCCAATCCCTAACCCCTCAAAAGGAAAAACCTCAAAATATATCCCCAGTGCCATGGGGGACGACTCTAACACATTCTCCACAGATTCCCTTTGTCACATGTCCAGATGCAGCTCTGGTCCCCGCCCCCACATCCACAAGCATGGACCCCAGAACAGACACCCCTCTCCAAGACACCCCATAAGGAGTCCTGACCCTCACAACAATGCCATAATTACAATGAACCCCCCGCAAAACCTAGAAGTGCGGGAAACAGGAGCATACACACAGTCACTCACACTGATTCTCCTCATGAGAGAGACGGAGGGAGGCTGAGAGCTTTGGGTGGTGCAGTCTCGTGTGCACACTCAGGCACAGACAGGATGCAGGAATCACAGTAGCCCTCTCATCGATGACAATGGCTCCAACTCAAGCAGAACTTCATAGAGACACTGCCTTCCAATCCAGTCGGGCACAGAAGGACACTCCCTGGCCTGACATTGATGCTCAAATGCAGACACAGACAACAGGCTCCCTTCTGCAGCTGCCATCTCAAACAGCCTTCCGGCTAGCATCTAGAAAACCAATGCAATCCATTCGTCATGAACAACGGAGGTTATGGTACAATACTCCAGCACATAGAGGAATGGGACAGAAAAGCATCCAGGTGACCTCAGGAGACACAGTGTCCCACCACCCTGGCAGGCAGATAGTCATCTCTTTTGTCACGATTTTGGAGAAAAAGGAGCAGAGAAAGCTGTTTCAGGAAATAGTCCATTCTGAACCCTATGAGGTAGGGGTGCCCAGCCTGCCCTGAGAGACAGCTGTCCATCTGCTGACTAGTAGGACTGGGGACTCTGTATAGCTCTGCAGCCAGCTAGCTCTACAATCTAAAAATTACAGGGAAACACCAAACCAAACCAAAACAGAGGCAATGCCTCAAAAAGAAATCTTTAAGATGTTCTTTGAAAATAGGTCTCTCAAACAGAGCTTAGTGGATGGCAGAGGGAGGAGGGGACAGACGTAAGAGATCAAAAAGAAAAGTGAGCGCCCAACAAAAGGGTTGGGATGCAAGAAATATCCCTGGGCAGCTGGGAACCATCTGGGAGCCATGAGAACAAGAACGGAGGGGATTCTGGCAAGTAGGTGTGGCTTATCATGAGAAAGGCTGGAGAGAAGCAGGATTCATGGGACTACTTACAAATCCAGTGTTCCCCTCAGGTTCAGTTTGCTGGGTATCTGTTCCCATCTGCAGTGGGCTAGCCAAGGTTACCCAGGCTTTAGGGGACATCAGAAGGCTTCTGGGAATGTGCTGGAATAGAATGCATACTCTCCAGATGTCAGTGGAAAAAATAGAACATGAATAAATGTGGCATTTGCCTTAGATGGAGTCTTCTTTGAGTTATGTGTCACGCAACCAGCGTACCTGACAGAATGACAAAGGGAAGGCCATCTTGTGGCCGCTCCTGTTTCAGAGGGTTCAGCCCATGCTGGAGCATCTCTTGGGCAAGAGCATCATGGTGGCAGCATGTGGTGAGAGATATCCTCACTTCCTGACAGTCAGCCATCAGTGTGACAGCAAGGAACCAGGATAATATGTCCCCAAGAGTCCTCCTCGAAGTGATGCACTTCCTCGGGGCGTGTTCAGCATCCAGAGTTTCCATGGCCTTCACAATCGTGGCACCAGCTAGGACCAAGCGTTCAGAACACTACCTGTGGGCAGAATGCTGTATTTCAAAGCACAGCAGTGTTTTTTATTGTTTTATGTAAGAAGAGTCATCCTTATTTGCATATCTCATGCCCAGTCACTGGCCACTACGTTCTGACTGTCTTATCTCCTGTAACAGCACTAAACTATGGCCACCTCCCAGGGACCACTGTCCTCGTTCAACCTGCCCTCATTATCATGGACACAAACGTCTATCTGGTCTCTCTCACCCTCATTTCTGATCCCTTATTTCATTTGGGTGCTTGGGAGTGGGGAAGAATACATCCAAGCTTATGTTCATTCATTAAACATTGACTGAGCATCTACTACGGCCGGTCTTTGCCTTTAGTGTTTACAATACCTCAGTGAACAAAAGAAGAGATCTTGCCCCTTATGGAATGACAATCCAGTGGGAAAAAAATAAGACAAATATAACAAGTTATATGGCATTTTTGAAGTCCATAAATGTAAAAGATAGAGTTAAAATGTCTGGTACCCACATGTATATACATGGCTGCACACAGCCAAGTGTGCAATGTTTGGTGAGGCAGCTGGGATGGGCACCATGCAGAGATTCATAGACTCAAAGGAGGGGAGGGAGGGGAGGGAGAGGAGGAGGAGTGGGGAAAGGAAGGTACCACATGGGTGCCTAGGAACGGATGAGCGTTGTTGCTGAGTCAGGTGCCAGAGATGGGCCCTTGGGAGGGACACATCTGGAAAGCTTGAGGAAGGATGGTCAGGACAAAATGACTATATTAGGATTGGTGACCTGCAAGTGTTGGGACATGGGATCAGAGCACTAAGGGAGATCTGGGAGGCCAAGAAGGATGGAGGCCTTGTCATAGGTCTATCATTGTGTACATCGTATTGTGACTTCTGTGTTGACAGATCTCTGTCATGGTGACATCAAAGAGTAGATGAGGAGTTGGTGAGAGCTGACGGTGTCTCTCTTCCAGTTAAAATCTTTCATGACTGTTTCATAGAACCCACAAAACCCACTGGCATGGAGACCCTGCTTAATTTCCCCTGTGCTTTTCTTAATGCTGCCTGCATACCCCCAGTGACCCCCAAGGTCTGAAGCAGGTAGACTTCTAAAGAGCACCCTCTTCTGTCATGTCCCTTTGTGTCTGCCTTGGTGGCCTCCTCTGCCTGATTATAGTTCCTCTCAAGGCCTCCATGGAGTGCCTTTTCTTAGGGAGGCCTTCCTCTCCTCTCTGCATCATAATCCTCAACATGGTTTGGATATGCTTCACTGACTGGCACATCACCCTGGCCTAGAATGTCTTGTTCACAATCTCTCTGTCACTAGACTGGAATGCCTATAGCATAGGAATTAGAAGCTTTATTTGTGAATCCTAGTAGGCTTTGGATGGATAGATGGATGGATGGATGGATGGATGGATGGATGGATGGATGGATGGATGGATGGATGGACAGGCAGACACACAGATAAAGAATGGATAGAGGTGGTTGGAGACTAGATGGAGGGAGGCAGGGAGGTCAATTGTGGGTGAATTCACGCTGCCTCTCTCACCTGATCTTGAATTCAAGGCATTCTATTTTTAGTTGATAATTAGTTAAGCATTTTTAAATGTTCTGATCTAACAGGATAACATTTACTTCTCTGCTCCTGGGGCCTGACTGGAGGAGTCTGTATGGGAATCTGTAAGCAGATGGACTCATCAGTTGCCCATGGTGGCTGTTTTTCATCAAGTTAAAAGGAAGGAATCGGCCGGGCTGGACCGATAGCCTCCGAAACAATACAGAGAAACCCTGTCTCGTAAAAACCAAAAAAAAAAAAAGGAAGGAATCTTGGTAAATAGAGTCTTACTTGCCCATTGACCAAACATAACTTCAGAGATGCTTTCTTTTTTGGACACACATTCCAATTAACCATTTGCACTCTCATCTTCAGTTTTGTTGGACTCTCCTTTCCCTTTTAACCTCTGTCCCACACATCATGTAAGTGAAAGTGACTGATTTATGTCTGGCATTGTATCAGGGGAGATTCTCTCTGAACATGAATACCTTTGCCTTTGATGAACGCCTCTAATTCATTTTTTTCCTAATGCTGCCATGGTGAGTTTGGGTTTTGAAGCATCTTTTTTTCTTACCTTGAGATAAGTTGCAACATGCTGAGTGTTCATGTTCTACTCAGAAAAGAATGTTTTAAAATATTTTATTAGGATGGGCGGTGGTAACACACACCTTTGATTCCAGTACTCAGGAGGCAGAGGGAGGCTGATATCTATGAGTTGGAGGCCAGCCTTGTCTACACAGCAAATGCCAGGATAAGCTGCAAAGCTACAGAGAAACCCTGTCTCGGAAAAAAATATTAATTCTTTGAGAATGTCACTTTAGCGTGCTCTCTGTGTGCCTGAAGGAGAGATTTTATGCAATGCTGTGAATGTACCTGCATTTATCACAATTTGGCTTGTGAGATCAAGTATGAGATTGCCACTTGTAGCCTTTTGGATTTGGGGAACATTTCTGCTTCTGTAAGTTTAGACTACGGATGTTCAGTCTGTGGCAATTCTTCTACCTTGTTAGGAATATCATAAAAATGTTTCCCTTGGACATTTTAATCACCCATATACATGGGTGTGTTTGACTAACTTCTCACATTGACTACTTTTCAAGTATTAAGTTTCCATGTTTCAGCACATTGAAGAGTAATCTCTTGATAACCCCCAAGACATTTAATCATATGTATTTCGGAAGAGAAGATCAAGCCCTGGGATCAGGCCTGATCTCCCAAACCCATGCATTTAACATGGACCTGCAGCCAGGACATCACTTGGGAGTGTAGGAACTGCAGGGTCTCCTTGGCCTGGCATCTCCATTCTGGGCACGCTTGCTGGATTATTATATTTGAACCACAGTTCTGAGTTTGACTGAACCGTGAGACCATCATCAAGTGCAATTGTGGACAGGTAGTCAACCCACTTGGAACATTTACCGTTGAAATCCAGGCTGCCTGAACTGACTCTGCTATGTACTGACTTTGGCAAGTTCTTTATCTTTTGTGCCTGTTTCCTCCTCTTTCAAAGAGGATAATAACAATGCTCTAGTAGAGCTTTTTCTTTTTTTAATTCCTTGCTCAAGACAGAAACGCAAAGGGCTCTAAAAGGAGCATCTTTGCCTTCAAGTTGTACAAACATGCCATTTTTTAAAATAAAAAGGAGCAGCCATATTGTCTGTGACAGTTACACACTGCCCCCCACACACACACACACGCTAGAAAAGGCAGAGCTCAAGGGGTGTGACACCCGAGGGTATGGAGAACGGATGAGGACGAGGAGGGCAGGAGGAGCCTCTGACTGAAAGATCACGGGAGGCTAGGCTCCTGGCTGAGGATGGGGTGTAAGAGGCCAGGCTACTCCCATTCTTCCTGAGATTCTTATGCTCTCCTTAGAACTTGGAAGAAGATGCCTAAAGATGAAGACATGCCAAGCATCTCCATTCACACTGCTGCAGCCTCTCCAAACACAGAACACATTTGCTGGAAGGTGCACGGAGACTGTGTCACTCAGGTAAAAATAAACAGAGGAAGCAAACCAGAGCCTTCAAGCTGCCATCTCTGTGCTCAGGGACATGAATGGAGCCATCAAATAAGATGTCTCTATCCCACTTAGTAAGCCATCACTGCTCCCAAGGCGACTTTGCAAACCTAAGTGAAACAAATAAATGTCACATGAAATTTATAGACAACCAAAAGAATGATAACTAGCTGGTTTGGTGAAATGAACCTCATGGTGGGATTGGTCTCACCCAGTATCCACAGGTCTGGAGATTGTAGGTATCTTCCCCTTCCTCTTCAGAGCTGAAAGCAACTCAACTCACAAGACCAGAATGACTTAGGATAATAGGGGGCTTCCTCGTGCAGGATTGAGTCCCTGAGTTTTCCTCTGGCCCTGATAACCTAGGCCCTTACTTCTCAGGTACTCAGGGACATAGGAAAGCGAGCACTGCCATTTATACTAAGATAGTCCGCAACTCAGTGCAGAATGGTGTGTGGGGACATCGGGAACCCTAGGGATAGACCCAAGGTGTGCAATCCTACACAGTGCCTGTTCTCACTGAACACACAAGGGCCAGACGGAGAAGAGTCTAAGTAAGAAGGTTAAGCAAGAAACAAATGTTAAGAAACATTACTGAGGACTGGCAAGATGGCTCAGCTGGTCAAAGGTGCCTGCTGCCAAACCTGGGGATCTGGGTTCCATGCCTAGGACACACAAGGTGGAAAGAGAGAACTGACTCCCGTAAACTGTCCTCTGACCTTCACATGTATCCATACACACATACACACACTCAAAATAAATAAATACATATGATAACAATTTCTGAAGAAATAGTATTGAGTATAAAAAAATTCAGGAAACCCCAAATTTACTTTTTAAATAAAAAGGAAAATGAAAGTTGGATCAAGATCATTTTTCTACAACATAAAGAACAACAAAACTTCAAACAAATTAAGGAAACAAAATACCAATCTTGCAACAGACAGAACTTTTTTGTCACCTCACAAGATCCCTTCAGATGGCTCCCATTCCCGCTGTCACTATTCTAGATTTTTGTCATTTAAGTTGTCACTGATAGCCCATTTTATGTTAAAAACAAACAACATCAACAACAAAGAAACATGCCACCCTATAAATGTGCCCTTCTTGCCTGGTTTCTTTAGTTAATATAAACAGAGCCAGACTTTTTATAGAGTGTGACAATTTGGGTTCCTTGTTACCAGATATCTACTGTGTGGTAATTTTAATTCCAAAGATTAGAGGAGAAAGACCACCAACCCAAATCATCCTAGCCAAATTAATTAAAGCAAGCCTTGCTGGGCGGTGGTCACGCCTTTAATCCCAGCACTGGGGAGGCAGAGGCAGGTGGATCTCTATGAATGAGTTCGAGGCCAGGCTGGACCGACAGCCTCCAAAACAATCAGAGAAACCCTGTCTCGTAAAAAAAAAAAAAAAAAGCAAGCCTTTTTGTCACTCCCTGAGGGTTCAAGAGATCAACATTGGGAATGAGAAAGACAAGGTTTTTATGACTCAAGGGTAGGGAGTTCCAAATGGGAGATTTGGTGGGAAAAATAGAGGGATTACAGAAGCAGAACATAAGCATAACGAGTTAGTTATAACCACCTCCTGAAGCAAAGCCATGACTGTGAGGTGGTCACAGCAAGGTAGTCATAACAACAGGTTTCCATAACAACCTTTGAAAAACAAAGGTAGGGTTGTAAGATGGTTATAACAACTCTTTGAAATAAAGGCATGGCTTCTGTTTCCTGGAACAGGCAGTACAGAACCATTTGTAGTTAAAGTTACAGGTGGGGCATAGCCCAATCCGTGAGAAACAGGTTTAATAATAAACACAGATTTAATCATAAAATGAGCTTAGTTTGTCATTCTTATGACTTTTAAGGCTGAGATAGAGGAGGCTGGCTGGTTCTTCAACAACCCATGATGACTGTTCCTCATCGGCCCATTGAGGCCCTGAAGGTTGACAGAACAATTCTCAGATACAGATCCAGGGCAGTAGAAGAGGTGACCTGCAGAGGGCTGGCTGGGGGAGACAGGGTCCACACCAAAATGAGGCGTCAAAGCCGGGCATCGGAGTTGATGCTGAGGACTTGAACCAGAAGGAACTATACAGTAAGAGTTCTCTGGACCTGCTGTCCTGCTGTTCAACTTGGGGGTGGGGCGTTGTTGACCTTGTTTCTGAGAAAACTGTGATGAGGCAGCTCCTGGTCCTTGCCATGTCTGTAGATGGTCCTGGGACCACCCTGATCCGTTGCCCAGGGCTCCAGCCTCCATGCTCTCTGCTTTGAAAATTTGCTTTCTTCTTCCAGTCCCTCTGCATCTCTGGCCTCTGGGATCCATGGGGATCAGAAACAAAGGCTGCCTTTCTTACAGCCACTTCTGAGATGAGCATCCTGCTTACAAAGAGCAAATGATAAGAAAGCCTGTGGATCTTGTAGTTCACAATGGCTCTTCTCACAGAACTACAGCTTGATCCAATTTACAGCCTAGGGCTAACGGCTTCCTTTGGGAAGAGAGTGGCCTGAGACAAGAACTCAGACTCCATCAAGTCTGGTTCCTTTCGACTGGGACTGGCTCCCTCCCTCCACCAGAGTCCTGCCCCAAACCCCTTAATATTCAATCCCCACACACCTGTTCAAGGTCCAATCCAGTTTTCAAAAACAGGAAAAGTAAACAAGCCATAAAGACTCTGGCTCCCCCAGTATGATGCTCAGGGGTCTCTTCTGATATACAGTTTATTTCCAGGGAGGATAATTGCTTTCTCTGAAGACCTCTCCCAGCTTTGGGCTTTTCTCAGAATGAGCTAAACTAGACTGTAGAAGCTGCTGCCGCCTCTGCCAGCCAGAGAACACCCAGGGAATTTTTGTTTTGGCATTAGCTTCCAACTCTGTGAGGGGAAGAAAGAACTGAGTATTCCGCCAACTCACCTACATATCTGCCCACAAAAAAAAATGGGTGTTTTAAAAGCCATTCCTATTCCTGGATCTGTGGATCCTTTCTCCCTCCTGAGAACTTTGGGGAAAATTCTGTAAAATATTGTTATTTGACCTTGTGGGTGATCTCTTTAATAATTACTTTTTTCTCACTTTTTTCTTTCTAGCTGAACTACTATGACTCTATGAAAGCTGTCATTTCCAGCTCCAATCATGAGCCCACAGCTTTAGTAATAGGTATGGTGCCTACTCCTGCTTTTGGTGGGGTCTCCCACCTTTGGGTCTTCTACACTAGGACATACATTCTACGCCATGAGGGAAAATGGAGAATAAGACCACTACCGTACTTCAAAGCCAAATTTGAAGCAAGCTTTTATTAAATACTGGCCAGGTAGATTGGTTCTGGCCAGGATCATCTCTGGTTTCCCAGATAAATGGCCCAGAGTAACAGTTTGCAAGGGCTTAAGAAGGAAATCCGGGCCGGAGAGATTGCTCAAGGGTTAGAGCACTGGCTGCTCTTCCAGAGGTCCTGAGTTCAATTCTCAGCAACCACATGGTGGCTGACAACCATCTGTAATGAGGTCAGGTGCTCTCTTCTGACCTGCAGGCATACATGCAAGCAGAATACTGTATACATAATTAATATAATCTTTAAAAAAAAAGAAGGAAAACTCATAATTGACTGCATTTCCCATCAAGTCCAATCAGGGGCAGGTGTGCATCCTGACGTATTTCCTGCCCCCATACCTCCCACCCACAGGTGATCCAACACATCTGGTGCAGATGGGTCAAACAAACTTGTTTAGTGGAGCGAAAAACATGCCTCCAGCATTTCAGGAACTATCTGTCCTTGGGCAAGGGGCTTGCAGATCAGAGGCATTTTTGTTTCCTGAATGTCTAAGGCATAGTAATTAAAACTTAAAATGTAACTTTGGCTCTCACAGAACTCCATTGGATGCTGCTCAAAACTGAACCTCCTCTGTTGTTGGGTTTGTAGTTAGGTTCCTAAGTATCACACCATGAGCTGCTGGAGAGGTGGAACGAGAGAATTTGATCAATATGCATTGGGTTAAAATATGAACAAAAAATCTATTACAGCTGATGAGGGATGTCCTTCTATATGTTGTGAATATGTTTCTCATATTGGTTGGTGAATAAAGCTGTTTCAGCCAATGGGCAGACAGGATTTAGCCAGGTTGGAAATCGAAACAGGGAGAGAGAAGGTAGTAGGCAGAGTCAGAGAGATAACATGTAGCTGCTGAGGAAGCAAGAGATCTGGGAATCACTAGTAAGCCAAGACCACATGGAGATAAACAGATTGATAGAAATGGGTTAATAATTAAAAGAGAGCTAGCCAGTAAGAAGCCTGAGCCATCAGCCAGCCTATAGTTAATATAAGTCTCTGTGTGTTTATTTGGAACTAAACAGTTATGGGACTGGGTGGGACAGAAACTTCCATCCACAAGAGAAACGCCAGGCTCTGCAACCTGAGTATTCCACGTCACACGCTACATGACTCTACATGTGTAGGAATGTAGATATGAAACAGTGGGTGATGGGGTGTTTGCATGAAGTGAGAGCTGGGAACTTTTAAGAATCCAAAAAGCAAAAAAAGAATTCAAAACAACAGGGCTGGAGAGACAGCTCAGCAGTTAAGATGGGGTTTGGTTTCCAACACACACATGACAACCCACCCCAGTCTGCAACTCCAGCTCCATGCTTGGCCTCTGCATGCATTGCACACATATGTGCACTTACATGTGGGCAAAACACCCATACACATGAAATTGTAATGTAGGGCGCAGTGAAACTATTGAACTCAACCAATGTTTAGTTCATGGGCTGGGAGAAAGGTTTATTGGGGAATCACACTGCCATCTTGGAGTGGGGGCAGAGAGAAGCAAGTGGTGGGAACACTTCCTTAATGTCAGGGTCAGTCCTAAATACCTTAGGTTTGTCCATTTCCTTACTATCCATAGCAACTGTAGGGTATACATCCATGATTCGAATCATTTTATAAGTAAGTCCCTGCACAACATTTTTTTCTACACTGAAGGAAATACAATTCGAAGTGAGTTAAGCAAAAAAGGAGAGTTCAGAAGGTGTCTCATGTAGATCTCTTAAGCACTAATTTAAACTTAAAACATAACGTTAGCCATCATACTACTGTTAGCATTCAGGCACATGTGGCTACCCTCTTAGAGACCTGGTAGAGTGTGTCACCCTTATGCGCATGCGTTTGCCAGGACTCAGGCAGTACTCTGACCTTCTCAGGGTCCTGACAATGTCTTCAGCTACATCGCTACAGCTATGCCCCCTTTAAAAAGGCGGGCTCTCTTCTTCCTCTTCCTCTTCTCTCTCTTCCCCTCTCCCCAGCTCTCCCCCCTCCCCCCCGCCCACAAAGCCGCTATGCGGCTCCCTTTCTCTCTCCGGTCCCCCCACCAATAAAACACTTCACGTGAACGCTGTCTGCATGACATTGTCTCTCACCCTCTGTGGGGCTCCTTGGATCCCACAAAGGTCCCTCTCTCACAGTATCATAACAACTACCATGCACTCAAACTGTAAACTAAAACAAACCCTCTTCCCCCCCTTAAGTTGTTACCTCGGTTGTTTTTGTCACAGAGACAAAAAACACTACCTGACCCGAGAAGTTCTGGAGAACCTACCACACCTGCTTAAACTGTAGGAGCTCACACATCCGTGTGTCTTCTCCAGAAGTGGGCAGTGGAGGGGGATTTGCTCATGGGGAGAAGTGGGAAAATGACCACTGTACAGAGTCACACAACTAGCCAGATCGAAGGGCAGACACTCTCTGTCCTTTGTTTCTCTGTTCCTGTGATAAATGACTGAACAAAGCAGCTAGGGGAGGAAAGGGCTTGCTTCAGTTTACAGGTTACGGTCCTTAATGGAGGGAGGCCAAGTCTAGAACTCAGGGCAGGAACCTGGAGGTGGAGGTTACCTCCTTAAAAGATGTTAGGTCTCCAGAAAGCCTGGGAAAGTCTCACTTAGTCCCTGAGGCTCCTCCCACCCTTACCCTAAACCTCTCCCCCCTAAAGGCTGGGCCTCCGTTTCCCATATGCTCCTTCTTGGTTGCCTTGGTCCCTTGGCTCCTGGTTCCTTTCTTGACCTCCTCCTCTCTCCTCTCTTCCTTCTCTCTCTCCCTCCTTCTCTCTGCTCTTATGGCCCAGTCCAGTCTGGACCCTTCCAGAAGCCTCTGGCTGTGCTCTCCCTCATACCTGCAATAAACCTTCTCCTCAACGTACTTTGGAGCGGCCATGTCCTTGATTTTCATTGGAGGGTGTGTTTTGTCCCTGGCACCATCCTTTCCTTCCTTTGCCTCTTCACCACCAGGAGGAGGTGATCCTCTTCAGTCCTCCATGTCTACCACCACACGGCCTCCACACAGCCCAGGAGTCATGCCGTCAACGGAAAGCCCTGGAACTAAGCCAAAATTCATCTTCCTCCCTGAAGTCGTTTGTCCCAGGAAAGGGAAGCTGACTAGAGTGAAGGTCCTAGAGCTATGGGATAGATAGACCTGCAGCTAAGTCAGGGAATGACTTGCGTGCATGTCAGAACACGGGAAGCATCCATTCTCTGGCCAGAGCAATGTGCTGACGTTTTAACAGCTCACCCCTGAAGACATCCTCAGCTCTTCACCTTTCCTTCATTTTGCTTTACAGTTACTTCGTAAAGCTCTTGACACCATACTGGAATATAATCCCTTCTGATTATTCAGTGTTTGATTTTTCCTGTGCATTCTGATCATGATTCCTTTCAAGGTTTACAAAAATTTTACACTTGTCAATGGTTCCCAGTTGCAGGTGGGGTACTCTGGAGGATTTTATAAAATCAGGTTACCTGTCCTTCATTCTCAGAGATTTTGGCTTAATTGGTCAGATAAAGAAGTTCCCAGAATGCCTTCTTTCCCTCCCCTTCCCCTTCTAACTCCACCTGAAACTTCACTACTGCCTTTAAGCACCTGATGTGAACTCACTGTGCAATCCTGTAAAATAGTTAAGACCTTTGTAGCAACTCAGAGCAACCATGCACATCATGTCAGCCTAGATAGATCTGAGCATTCTGAGACTCTGGGAAAGTGGACAAGCGGATATCCCCACCTCCCCTCTTTTATTCTCCAAAAGCTGGTTCCATTTGCCAGGGCGCATCCTGGAAAATCAATGTGCCTCCTGTGAACGCAGTCTTACTGCTTTCTTGATAGAAACCATCGGATGTCTCTTCCAGCTCCCTGATTCACAGCCCGAGAACTCATGTCCTCTCAAGGAAGTTTCTCCTCTATAGATTTCTGATCCACTGACACTGAAATCCTCAGAGTGTTAGAAAGAAATGGGCAGTGCCTGAATTTCTTGGGAGCTTTCATTGGTTTTTCTTGGAACTGGCGAAGCTTGTTTTCTAGAATGCTAGTGGGTCTGAATTCTAAGAAGCCCCAACTTAACCCCAGGAGGCCGCAGCAGCTCAGAATGCAGTGTTTGTCTGGGAAGATCAAAAGCCATTGTTCCAGAGTAAGATCAGTGAGTCACTCTGAATACAACTGTGATGCTGGGGCTCGGTTTTCTTTAGTTAAATAAATGGTGTGATTCGGATTTCATTTGAATGTCTCCCAAAGGTTCCTATGCAGGAGACATGGTCAGCAAAGTGGTAGCAGTAAGAGATGGTAGATTCTCTGAAGTGGGACCAGCTTTTGGAGAATAATAGGGGGGAGGTGGAGATATCCACTTGTCTACTTTCCCAGAGTCTCAGAATGCTCAGTTCTGTCTAGGCTGACATGATGTGCGTGGTTGATCTGAGTTGCTACAAAGGTCTTAAGAGAGAGAGAGAGATGATCCTTTCCTCCTGCTCTAGCTCTGTATTTGTTATCTTCTCATGTTCCTATCCCTCTATCCACTCCCCCCCACACACACACGTCTACCATCATAGCATCCCTCATATTGGAGTGTACCTAATGAAACACTGTGGCCAAAAGCAAATTAAAGACAAAAAGGCTTATTTCACCTTACAGCTTACAGTCCATCACAAGAGGACATATGCTAGGACAGGAACTCAAACAGGAACCTAGAGGCAGCAGATGACACAGAACCATGGAGGAGCCTTGCTTGCCAGCTTGTTCTTCAGGTTCATATTTGGTGTGGTGCTTTGAAAGAAAATGCCCCCAAAGGGAGTGGCACTTTTAGGATGTGTGGCCCTGCTCCCCTCATTATGATAACAGACTGAACATC